ATTTCATTATTCACTAATTAAAAACTTTTCCCGTCTTGTACGTAGTCAAATTACTAAAAGAACAAATGAACCAATTAATATTTGTAAGAGATGTTTTTGTCATTTTACAAAACCAGAATTATTAGACAAACATATTAAATATTGTTATAATAATAAAACATCAATTGTAAAAATGCCAGAAAAAAACACAACTTTATACTTTAATAACTATGATAAACAACTTCCTATTCCTTTTGTTGTATATGCAGATTTTGAATGTTTTACTAAACCAATGAATAGTTGTTCTCCCGATCCTAAAGATTCTTACAATTATAACTATCAAAAACATGAACCATCAGGATTTTGTTTTTATGTAAAGGGTATTGTTAATAAAAGAATTAAACCAATCATTTATACAAAAAAATCAGATGATGAAGATATTGCTAAAATATTTGTAGAAAAACTTACAGAAATGACTAAAGGTATATATAATGATTTTTATTGTAAACAAAAACCTTTAGTAATGAGTGAAAAATTGAATAAAGATTTTATTAATGCAGTTAATTGTCATATTTGTGGATATGAATTAGGTAAAGATAGAGTTAGAGATCATTGTCATTTTACAGGTAAGTACCGTGGTGCAGCACATAACAAATGTAATCTTATGTGTAAAAAACCAAGAATATTACCAGTTATATTTCACAATCTTCAGGGTTATGATGCACATCTATTTATCAAACAACTTGCTAAAATAGATGGTGATCTTAGTTGTATTCCATCTACTGAAGAAAAATATCTTTCATTTTCTAAAACTATTAAAGTTGGAGATTACAAACATATTAGTGGTGATTTTATTCCAATAAAATTTGAAATCAGATTTGTTGACTCATTTAAGTTTCTTCAAACATCACTAGCCAATCTTGTTTCAAATTTAAACCAAGATGATTTTCATATTACAAAACATGATTTTAAGAATAATACTTCATTACTAACTCGTAAAGGAGTTTTTCCTTATGATTATGTATCATCAGTTGATAAATTATCTGAAAAACAATTACCACCAAAACAGGGGTTTTATTCTAAACTATATGATGAAGATATAAGTGATGAAGATTATAACCATGCTATTAAAGTCTGGAATACATTTGGGTGTAAAACAATAAGAGACTATCATGATCTTTATCTAAAATCTGATGTAATGCTTTTGGCAGATGTGTTTGAAAACTTTAGGAAAACTTGTCTCCACCACTACAAATTAGATCCAGCTCATTACTACT